TTCATCAGAGCGTTGATGATTCGGTTGGCCGGAACCGCTCGTTGTCTCGATGTTAGTCTTCGCCGTCGCACCAAGTCTAACCTTCTATAATTGACCACTACTCGGATATAGTAGCCCTCACTTGGTAATAGCATTTTATACCGGATACGTTTCTTGATTAATTGTTCACTGATATTATTATTCGATCTCTTCTTTTTAAGCTCACATGGGATTGTTAACAAGTATTTTAGGTTCGATGGCTAATCTCTACATGGAAAATCAATGTTTCGATCAGTTGTCCGCTTTGCGTTTTGCGCTTGTTTGCCGGACCGATAAAGGCCTATTTAACCTCTACTTTATCACCTAAATTGCTTCTTTGCCGTTGCTTCCTATCCCATCGCCTTTATTTTATCCCGACTTATTTGGCCTAAACAGTCAGCAGAATCACCAAGAAAATCACACTTATATTTTGGCATTCGACATGAAAGCGATTTTAAACTTCGCTATTATTCCAGTTATGGAAAATCGAGCGAACAACTCTTATCCATTCAGCTCGTTCATTGGAGTTGTTGCGGACATCTTGAATTTTAAGGGCTAAGAGACGTCTGTCTTTAGAAACACTCGAGCTGATACACCAGCGTGGTATCGCACGAGCTGCAAGCACCCACAAACAAACTTCCGAACTTGTAAAACAATGCAGAGAGGTGATAAAAGAAGATCTTAGAAAGAAAAAAGCAGCGGTGATGGTCGAAGCTTCAGAGACTGGGAAAAGCATTAGCAAACCCACCGAAACCTCGCCAATTACGAGGCCAAAATGATTTCCCTCCGGCGCCCAGACGGAGCAGTTACAGCGTCCAGAAAGGCAATGGAGAAAATCATTCACAAATATTACTCGGATCTCTTCGATGGCCACGTCCACCTTCCGTCATATAAAACAGAGGAAGATGGATATGTTGTACCACCGGTCCTCCCTTCCGAAATCCGACATGCCATTTCGCTGGTGAAAAATCGAACAGCACCAGGTCCGGACAGGATAAGACCAGAACACCTGAAGAACCTTGCGCCAGTCTCCGTAAACACACTGGCTCTGCTCTTTACACGTTACCTATCTGAAAGGAAGGTACCTACTCAGTCGAAGACCGGCAGGACCGTGTTATTGCTCAAAAAGGGTAACCTACACGACATCAGCAACTATCGCCCAACCTGCCTGCTGTCTTGCTACAAAGTCTTCACTGGAATCATCCTAAACAAGATTGAGAGAACACTGGACGAAGGACAGCCATATGAGCAAGCATGGTTTCGAAAAGCATTTACAACGATGGACCACATCCACACGTTAACAAGGCTCATTGAAGTATCGCGAGAGTACAAAAGACCGCTCTGTCTCACTTTCATCGATTTACAGAAGGCCTTTGATTCAATTGAGATAGAAGCAGTCTTGGAAGCCCTTGATAGTCAAGGAGTCCCTACCCAGTACATAATGCTTCTTTGTGAGTTAAACAAGAATTTCACAACCAAGATGCCACCATTCTGCAACGATATTAACATTGACGTCAAAGGAAACGTTAGGCCAGGCGATACCATCTCGCCAAAATTATTTACCACCACCCACCAGAAGGTCATGCAAACATTGGAATGGGGTAATATGGGAGTGAAAATCGATGGTTGGCAATTACACCATCTTAGCTTTGCTGATGACATCGTCTTTATAATATCAAACATTAGCCAAGCGGAACGAATGCTTGAAGGCTTTGATAGAGCTTGTGGAAAGATTGGTCTTCGACTAAATCTCAAAACGATGTTCATGAAGAACGGATTGGTTTCGTATGCCCACCACCCCCCATTCATGTTGACGGAACGAATATCTCTGAATGCTCCAGTTATATCTATCTAGGTCGGGAAATCAATATGATGAACGAACTAGCTCCAGAGCTGAGCAGAAGGAAACGAGCGGTTTGGGGATGGGGGGCTTCCAAGAGCATCGAGGATGTAGTGAGGAGAACAAGGAACACCCGCCTCCGTGCCCACCTTTTCGATTCAACGGTACTTCCTGCCCTAACGTATTCGTCAAAAACCTGGTCGCTGCGTAATCAGGATGAAACATCACTCAGCGTTATCGAACACGCAGTCGAAAGGACGATGCTAGGAGTATCTCGTTCCACACAAGGAAGAGATGGGATTCGAAGCTCCGATCTGCGTCAATGAACAAAAATCAAAGAAGCCGTTCTGCTCGCCAAACAGTCGAAGATAAGGTGGGCCGGGCACGTATTTCGTATCAATGACAACCGATGGACAACAGCCGTTAGTGACTGGATTCTTCGGGATGTCAAACGTACTGCAGGAAGACCACCAATCCGATGGTCAGAGTTCTTCACGCAGAGCCTAGAAGAAAGTTATGATGCTTAACGAGCCCCTAGAGCAGCAGAACCCACTGGGTTACTCTTGCACGCGACAGAGAAAAATGAAAGATTTACTGGTGCACGCTCGAGTTAAGCAGCGATTAACGGGACTGCAGTTGACAGGTGATACAGGTGATGCTAACATATTATTTGCGGCCTATTGAAGTTTTTCACGACAGGGAATTACATGAAATACACCCATAATGTTGCACGAAGGAAGCAGTGGCCTGATCCCATGTAGAATTTTGAGACAACAGTGACATCGGTTAGGCAAAACCTTCTATTTACTATGATGTAGCCTATTTCGTTATGGTACTCACCATTGGGAGAATCCCACGTCCAGCGTTGAGAGTGGGGCTTCTGGAATTGCGAGATATTATGGATGGTTTTGGTCGTCATGAAAAACTCAGATAGCCACTCACGCTGTTCGTTCCACTCCAATTCGTGGATGCCATTTTGACGTTTTTCAGGCGTTCTTCTTGGTCCAGTTTTAGAGTTGAAATCTCCAATGATGGTCTTGAAGAATGTATGATCTTCTCTGTATAACTCCTCCAAGTCCATATAGTATGCTTCATCTTCGTCTTCGTCATAGTTTAATGTTGGCGCGTAAGCGACGAAGATTGTCAAAGCCGGTGTTGATCCACATCTTTTTAATCGTAAACGTCCGATTCTCGTTGTAAGTTGTTCGAATGAATCAGCGTTTATGGTTAAACTCGTGTTGACGAGAACGCCGACGCTGCCGACTCCTCTACTGTCGCATGTTCCGAGAAACAGTTCTTCTCCGGTGCCATAGATGGCGTTGAATGGGTGGCGTCGTCTCGTCTGGACCAGGCCGATGACGTCGTGCCTTACCCTTCTTACTTGCATGAGCAAATCTTCTATCGAGTACTCGGATGCAAGTGTACGTTCATTGTAGGTACAGATCGTCACCATAGTTCTTTGTAATCCATACAGCTTCCATTGGCTCCGAGATTTTATCAGCCTCTCCGTAGTCGTCCTCCCCAACGCTGCGAAATTGATGGCTCTTTCGGAGTCAGAGAAATAAGGCCGGTTTTTTTTTACAGTGTTTAGCAGTTTGATACCCATGTATAGCTTGCCGGGCTCTCCCAGAGTGGACATGGAGCTTATTTGTTGGAGACGCTTCCTAACCGCCTCCCATATACTTCCGTGTAGCTTGATTGCATGCCTTTGGCCGAGTTGACTCGTCGTATACAATTTGCATAACCGAGAACGCACTTACACACGCATGCATGAATACGCCTAGCAAATACAGAAAGTATATGCCAAATCGGCGCAACAGAAACAGGGAGTCTATCACCTGGATCCACCTGGTTCTCAGGAAGGCAAAGGTCGCTTTTGGTCCACAATCAACCCTCTATCCACCAGCTGGGGATACGCCACGTAGTCTAGCGACTAACCGGCTATCGGGATCCCTCATATGAGGGAGATCCGTAGAAAAGGTTGACATAGTCACCCATATATCTACAGTAGAGTAACGGCCGGAGGTCGATTATTGATACCTCCACCCTAGGCATAAATAGAATGACATGGCTTTGTGCTTGTCGCTGTGCCATTACCAACCCTCGCATTTGGTCAGAATGCTTCCCGGGCTATCTAAAAACTGAACTGTTTAGGCACTGCTTCTGGACAGCGATGTTCTGTTGGTTTGAAAAGCCATGCATTTTAGTGCTCCGGCATATTGCATAAAGACCTTGTGGATAACTGCCTAGCAGAGTCATTGGACACGTTTGTGTTAAGAGCGGTAACGTTGAAGTTCTCCATCACTTACGTGCTGCTAGGAAGCGCGTTATGTAGGTAGGCGATCCAGGAACATTTGGGTTTTTGTCACAATGCGTTTGAGCAAATGGATGAGTAGTCGAAAGACTTGCAATGTTCCAAGAATGGCTTGCGCAGCGAAGTTATTCGACGCGTTTCTGTAAGCTGCGATAACACGTAAAGAAATCACGTAAAAGTAATTGTAAAAGTTGAACTGATCACTGGAATCGGATCCAAAACCTAGTCTTTTGGAGAGCATTTATTTCTCCTTGGAAGTTACAAGATCCTCTCCACACCCTTCTGACTGGAAAGAATTCGGTATCATCGACAGATTTAGTGGCTGAAAAATACGTGAGCAGACGGAAATACCTAGCAGACTCTTTGGTTTTATTTCCTAGACTTCCTGATTTAAATGTGCCACACAGTCGCGCAATACTCATCGTGCGAAAAGCGCTGATTTCCATGCGTCCGTCCAACGGTCGACAAGTAACCATGTTCTGTGACCACGACTATTTTGCCCTTGACTAAAAATAGTTGACATAACAAGAAGGTATGTGTTTGGTGTGGGATGTGAAACCAAATAAGCCGCTTTACAGCGATCAGTTCAACTTTTACAATTACTTTTACGTGATTTCTTTACGTGTTATCGCAGCTTACAGAAACGCGTCGAATAACTTCGCTGCGCAAGCCATTCTTGGAACATTGCAAGTCTTTCGACTACTCATCCATTTGCTCAAACGCATTGTGACAAAAACCCAAATGTTCCTGGATCGCCTACCTACATAACGCGCTTCCTAGCAGCACGTAAGTGATGGAGAACTTCAACGTTACCGCTCTTAACACAAACGTGTCCAATGACTCTGCTAGGCAGTTATCCACAAGGTCTTTATGCAATATGCCGGAGCACTAAAATGCATGGCTTTTCAAACCAACAGAACATCGCTGTCCAGAAGCAGTGCCTAAACAGTTCAGTTTTTAGATAGCCTAATTTAGATCTAATTCACATAATATCCTGCAGTGAAAAATTGTAGTAGGCAGCAAATAAAAAATCGACATTGTGAATTTCAACTGTAGCCACAACTTAGCTCGGTTCAATGCCGATTTCTGCTATCCAGATTAATCCCGTTGACGGGTGGTTGCTGATGGCACTGATCGATAGAATTAGCTGAGAGACAGGCGAATTTAATGACCCGCATGCTGTGGTGGTGAACGTGTTACTCCCCGGAAAGGACAATAGCGCATTCGTTCCCCACCATAGACACCTGCGGTCTAGAGATTCTTGCAAATATCTCAGCAACGTTGTGGTTGTATCTCAACTTCATTAATATTAGTACAGTTTTTTACTTAATTGCGAAAAAACTTGTTCAAATGACGTCGTATAGTATATTTAAGCCTTCGAATTTGTGATCATTTAGTGCGCCGATGGTTCCTTTCACATTTTCAGCGACAATCATTGTTGCTGTCTTCTTCGCCCAGTATTTCATGCTATTAGAGTAAAGTATTGAATATTCAAGTACTCTATATAAATCAAACTAATCCAACAAGCTGTTGTTGCCGATTTTTATTCATTTTTCGGAATTCTTCAGCGAAAATTCGCTGATTTTAACACTTCGCAACGTTTCGGAAGCAGATGGATAACGGTAACTCAAGAACGGAGGTTAAACAATTATTCACTGCTACTTATGGCTACGGTATATTGGAGTTGTTGATGACGTTCACGCCATTCCTAGCTGCCAATGTTTTTATGCATGATTAATGTCGTCGACAAATTTGCACAGCTTCCGTGCAAACAGTGTTCTACTAGCATGCCATACTTCCGTGTTATGATTCCGTGTATGTTTGTCGATGATTTCATAACGTTGTGCTTCTCGTGCAGGAAATCATGCAACGCGAAGAAGTTCGCTAACGTGCCATGAAGATAAATATTAAGCGCAGCATTCGTGGTAACGCTATGATTTAGAGCTTAACGATTAGCAATCGCTAAAGTACTCGAGGGGAAAAATCGGCATATTATAAAACTAGCTCTCATTGTACTTCAGCATAAATAATCAGTACTTTTCTCAATTCTTATGTTAGCAAAAGGATGTTGCAAGTCTTCAACTCATCTGACGGTTCAGCGCCTTTACTTTATTCGAAGCCGCGGTGATTGGAGTTTAGTACCAACTTCGGCTTCTTTTTTGATGTGGGTATCAAAAGTAGCATCCATTCGATTCTATAGGTGAGTGGCACCACTCGAATGAAGTAGCCTCACTCGATAGTGCCCCTTAATATCGAGCCGTTGGTGAACGACAAACGGTCCGTTCATAATAATTCGTTCTTTTCGGTATTTGATTAGCTAGCACAGTGCATAGTAATCACCTTTGTGAACCGGCTTTACGATTTCATAGTAGAAAATTCATGATTCCGTACCCGTGTTCTTGGACTAGTATCGTATCCTCATTTTAAATTAGTAAATCTTCGTTCTTTTTTCAAATCCTAAGCCTTTGGTCTAGAAGTTATCGTACTGCTCACCTACTTGGTATCGAATAGAGGTGAATTTATTGGTAAAATACAACAGTTGCAGGATGTTTCAATAAGCCCACTCACCAGGCTTATTGATTAGATATTGCTCTTTCATCTCTATTAAGATATCAAGAGTATCAATGAGAATTCTTTTCAGATACTATCAAGGTTTTATCCTTCGTTACGTTGAGGTCTCAGAACACTACATCCACTCTCATACTACCGTCGCTCATTGGGTGCCGGCTAATGTCAACGAAGTATTCATCCATATCTGTCACGATTTCTTGAGTCACGTCCTTTGACGTTGTAACCTCTGGAATCAGATACATAGCATGAGTATGACATTGAAATAAATCTATTTCTCGCGAACACCTTTTTGTGGTTGTTCACTTGAGGGTGAATCTTTCCATAAGTGTTTTTGTGCATTCCGTCTTTCTGGCTAATACTTGGTTTTCTACGAGCTATTTCGCATCAACAAAGCGAAGATTCTACTGCTTTCGCCCATCGACTTTTACTCCGGTATTGTCATACTCCTGTTCTCAACTGATGAGAGCACCTACAAACAATTTCAGCAATAAACGGGCTGCCTTCATTTATTAGAGTAACTGAATTGACGTAGCGAAAAACCTTAAATGCAAGTTCAGTGCGCAGAATCTATGAGATATCTACCCAGGTATGATACAATAGATGAATAGTTGAGAACACAGAACAAAAGCAGCGCGTCTAGAAGCTTACGAGTATATAAGATGGTGGGCTTATCACGAGAAAAGCAAAGAAATCGATTGTAACAAAGTTAGCCCAAAGAAGCTAGAGAAACAAAAACGGTGGGGACACTCCTTAAGGCTAAACCAAATAACCTTAAACTTATTGATGAAAAACAAATGAGATATTATTTGAAGTACTTCCACGTGTTCGACCCCAACTGCGGCCACCGCCCACCACTTCGCAGCACCTTGCATAGAGAGGAAAACATTATCGGGTGGTCGACAAACGTACAGAGAACCACATACATAACAGTTTCTTGCCAATAAAACATTGTTTGCATACCAGGTGAACAAACTCGTCATGGAACTCAATCGTATATAGAAAAACAGCGGTGAGCAAGAATAGCATGAGCATGAGGTGCAGAATGACCTCTATGGAACTATTTTGATAGGTTCAATTAACCCTATTTATTACAACAAACTATTTAGCAGTTTTTTTTAAATTGCATAAAAAACTCAGAAACATTGTTGAGATGAGGATCGCTCTCCTGTTCAGTACAGTTATCGCAGTGACGCGTTGTTCCACAAGCAATGCTGGCTTCGGAAGAAAGGGTTTTGCTAACCCACATGTTCAACAGATCAAAAACAGTAAACTCGCAAAGCCGAAGGTAGCACGAGGATTGAGGCCTTGTACTCCCAAAATACAAAAGCTTTTAGACTGAAAATCACCATGAAGTCTTTGTCGTTCCACGCGATTATTCGGGTACAACGGAGACGTTGATGGACAACGAACTGAGACCTTTCGAAGATCATAAAAACAATAACAAAACAGAGGCACTGCTTAAGCACCGTTTCCCAAATTTCAGCTCTCGTAATTTAAAGAACAACCTTGCTTCATTAATAGGAGACCTTGACAAAATCGAGCAATGACAAGTCATGTTTGGACGAATC